TGGGTACAAAGTTAGAGTTAGGAGGAATAAGTTCTCTATACCATAGAGGTGTGATTACTTAACACCAACATATTGTATATTTCATAATAACTAGAAGAGAGGATTTTGAAACTTCTCACCACAAAGAAATGACAAATGATGGATGTGTTAATTTCCCTGATTTGTTCATTATATAACACTTATGGGAAAGAAAATGTCACATTGCACCATCCCCCAAAAAAGATCACTCTGAAATACCATGAGTAAAAATGCTGCAATTGCTACAGTGTAGAGTCCAGAACTGGCTCTCAGGATAAAAGAGACTGCATCATATATTTCAGAAAATCAATGAAAAGGTTATAGTCAATTCATTCATCAATATCTTTGGTGGATAAAATAGTTTATTCATATGATGATTACCCCGCCCCCACCCCTCCCTTTCGCTCCCGCAGGCCTCCTTCGGCTCCGTGCGCAAGCGCCAAGAGGTGCTGGGCGCGAAGACGTCACTAGGCCACGCCGCGCACTATTTGACGTACTGGTGACCCGCCTTCCGGAAGGAAGCTCAGCGGCCGACCATGGCGACCGCCGCCGAGCAGTGGGTCCTGGTGGAGATGGTACAGGCTCTCTACGAGGTGGGCTCCGAGGACCGGGAGGCCCACGCACCCCCGGCCCTGGGGAGGGTGACACGGCGCGTGTGGACTTGCGGTCGGAGGCCTCAGCTGGGCTGACCGGTGCCGGCCGACTCGGCGTTCCTGTGAGAGGACTCCTGGAGTCGCTGTCCCGGCGGCCGAGCGTGGGCTGTGGGCAGGGACCCGCCGGCCCGGACGGGAGCTTTTGACTTGAGCCGCAGTGGGCCGAGGGAAACGGGGGCCCTGGGAAAGCAGAGTGGGACTAAGGGGAGAACGGAGTTGGCGCAGGCTCCGGGGAAGCGCGGTCGGAGGGGCCTGGGAGAGGAGGCGCCAGAGAAGGGGCAGCGGCCGCTCGGAAAAGCCTGGAGGACCGTGTAGCCCGTTTTCGTCGGGACGGGGAGGCTGGGTTGGAAAAGCAGCTGACGGTTCAGGACTGAGGCATATTAGGTCGTTGTCATCCCATTGTCTGTCTCGAAAGCTTATGTCTCTTTATAGACTTCAGGTAGAGAATAAGTTCTTTTTTTATTTTTATTATTTTATTATTTTAATTTTTTTATTGTTGGCTGTTCAGAACATTACATAGTTCTTGACATATCATATTTCACACTTTGATTCAAGTGGGTTATGAACTCCCATTTTACCCCGTATACAGATTGCAGAATAAGTTCTTAAAGGGCTGGCGTTTGAGATGCGTGAGACCCTATGAAATACCAGAAGAGCAGCTTTTAGAGAATGTTCGTGTAACAGCTGAACTTTCTGCTGCGTCTCTCTCGGGTCTGTTCAGGGCAGTAGTCACTAAGCACATGTAGCTGTAAACATTTCTTGAGGAGGAAAAGAAGTGGCATTTGTGAATTTTATTAATTCACTAGACTAATAGTTTCTCATTTAGAGTGATTTCTTTATGGGATGGAGTCTCTACCTGCTAAATTCTAGTCCTTGAGAAAACTAAAAGGATATTTAGATTTGTTACTGAATAAATTACGTTTAAGGGAGAATCAGCAACTTTTTAAAATTGTCTTGAAGAGACCAGTTCTTGTTGCCAGTTGCTTTGTCCTTTGTAATATTGGGGGAGGCTTGTATGGTATATCTAAAAAGAGAAAGAACTGTGCGTGTGTATATAGAGTGTATGTAGTTTTAAAATTATTTGTGCATTGACTTCAAAGTTTATATGTGAATTTGCCAGCAGTTTCCCAGTCTCCAATTTCTGGTGTATTCATTTTTAAATTTGTAAATTTTAAATCATTGTCACTCAGTCTAATGCTTGAAAGTAATTTAGCTTACGTTTCTAAATGCCTTTTTTGAAATGATTTTTCCAATAACAACCTGTTGGAGTACAGAACCCCATAACAAACTGACTGAGGATGTAATTAATATCTGGAATCTTCCACAGGAAAGTCAGCCTGGACTGAAAACATACAGTTAAGCAGAAGAACAGAGAGAGATTGTGGCAACTGGTTTCCACATCACTCTATTAGCTTCTCTTGGAGTAGATAGATGGAGGTGATAGAAGGGTTATTAAACTGAAATATTTTGTTAGTCATTTCCTACCAGTAAAAATTTAAATTAACCTGAAGGATCTGATAGTTTATACTGCTGTAAATATTGGGATTCTGTGTCAGATTTTTAAAATTTCATTTTCATTCCTAAAGAGATTTGAAAAGCTGAAGCATTAGAGGTTTTTCATGGGAAGGAGAAATTGTCTACTGTTAGAAATTGGAAAAGGAAATTGATAAGACATTAAGAGAGCTTTGAAAGTAAGTTGTTGTTGATGATGATGTTTTTACCAGAATATCACATACGTTTTTTTCAGATGTAACAGCAATGTTAAAATTGACAAGTTTAATTCTTAACAGCACCAAGTAAACTTAATCATTTAAGTAATTTTTAATTTTTTCCCTCCAAAAACTGAGGGAGCTTTTCTTTTCCACCAACACACACACGTTTCCCAATGGATCTCTTTTTGAAAGATTTTCAATTGATGAGTAAACTTTGAAGATATTTCAGAACTCCTTTCTCCAACTGAAAACTAATCTGGACTATTATATACTGCATAGATTTCTCTGCAGATTCTTTTCTTTAGAACCTAAATGCAAATTTCATGCAGTATAATTTTAACCTACTTACCCCACTGTAAAAACTATCTGTCCTGAAAAATAGGAAGGATGTATCCCATGATCTTCCAGTTAAAAGAATTACTATTTTACCTCAAAGATTATTTTTATCATTTATCAAAGTAATCAACTCATTGTGGGGTATTACTTTTGTCTTTCTGACTCGGAGGCATATGAACTCTAGTGTTCAACTTCTACTTCCAAATTTATAAGTGGATGGAATTATTTGACACAAGTTTGATGTAGGACGATTAACCCTTTACAAACACTTAGAATTTAGGTTAAATCTTTAATGTAGAAAAAGAAACTAAATGATAGGAAGCCTATATACTCAATCCAAACTTTAATATTTTTCCCTCTTTAAATAACAAGTACGTAATTGTTGTGAGGCAGCTATTTGGTTTTTGATAACCACATTTACGGATACATTCATAGGACTGCTTAAAAAGTCCAGGTAAAATGGTTATAGAACTTGAGGTAGTGTCATCTCAGAAAACTCAGTTATATATCAAAATCTATTTTGATATCTGGATGTTTATAAAAAGGCTGAATTTTTAACACTAGTTATACTTTCTGTAACTCAAGCACTCTTCTCTTGCCAAGAACAAGCTGAAGCTTATCCACAAAGGTAATAGTGCTTAATGCTAAACTTTGCTTCTAAGCCCACATTTGGATTGTTTAAGGAACTGATAATGAAGAAACCAGTGTGGTCTTTCTACATTTTTACTAGCTTTAGACTAGAACGCTATAAACTCATTCATCAGCCATCTTCCTTTTATATATTTTTCTTGGCACTCAATTAAGACTGTAGAAGTCTATTTTATGAAAGTAAATTTTAAGAAGAAGTAGATTTAAAGTTCAGGAGAGGCAGTACATTCAGGAATGCTAAATGTTATGTGCAGGCTGTGGAAGTGTATATTTTATTTATTTATTTATTTCACTTTTATGTTTTTCTTCTAGGCCCCTGCTTATCATCTTATTTTGGAAGGAATTCTGATACTCTGGATAATCAGACTTCTTTTCTCTAAAACTTACAAATTACAAGAACGATCTGATCTTACAGTCAAGGTAAGAAATTAAACATGTTTTGTTTTGTGTATGATTGTAATTGCTACATCTCTCTCAAAAGGAATTGTGGTGCCTCAGCTCTACAGGATATGTTAAAATATCTTCTGAAATGTAAGGAAATTAAGACGAATGAAATGTCACCATAGGCAAAATATTGGGAAAGTTTGGGATAAAGTCAGTATTCAAAGTTATATTCCTGTATTTGCTGGGAGAAAGCAGTAGTCTGAAAAACTATATAATAGTTTATATAAAGATTATGAGTTCCTTGAGAAAAGCTAAACTATTTCTGAACCCTGGAAAAAGTTCTCCCTGAGGACTTTACAAAGGACATTTGGAGTTAGAATCCTACCTACCCCCATCTAAAATGGAATCTTGACGTGTTGTGTATGGTAAGGGAGAAAAAAAAAATCCTCATCATAGAAATGAAATTTTCTTAAATATCAGTCATCCATAGAACCTTTAGCTTGTGATAAGGAAGGAGTTAAGGACAAAGTACATAAAACTCAGAAATGATTCTGTTTTCATTCTAGCCACAATAGCTATGTAGGTTATCTCTAATAATGAATTCATTATGAATTTCCATTACAACCTATAGTTTGGTAGGGGAGGGTTTGTTTGTTTTTTGATATTGGTGATTGTACCCAGGGGTATTTAACCATTGAGCCACATCCCTAGCCCTTTTCACTGTTTTATTTGAGGCAGAATCTCACTAAGTTACTAAGGGCCTCACTAAGTTGCTAAGGCTGGTCTTGGACTTACAGTCCTTCTGCCTCAGCCTCCAGAGTCACTAGAATTACAGGTGTGCACCACTGTGCCTGGCTACACCCGTAGTTTAGAGATTGCTGAAGACTGTGTGAAATGACAGTGCTGAGTTGTAACCCTTTTCTCCTGTAGGAAAAGGAAGAATTGATCGAAGAATGGCAACCGGAACCTCTTGTTTCTCCTGTTTCAAAAGACCATCCTGCTCTCAACTATAACATTGTTTCAGGGTAAATTGGTTTTGCTATTTGAAGAACTTGAATTTGGTTTTCTCTGGTTATGTTTGCCAAAGTGCGTACTTTTTCAATAGATTCATCTCTAGGTACCCATAGTTTTCCTTTGTATCATGAGTAGCATCTTTTTCCTATTCCTTTTCTTTTTTTTTAATTATTTTTTGTTCTGATTTGTTATATATGACAGCAGAATCCGTTACAATTTATATTATACATATAGAGCACAAATTTTCATATCTCTGGTTGTATACAAACTATATTCACACCATTCATGTCTTCATACGTGTACTTAGGGTAATGATATCCATCTCATTCCACCATCTTTTCTACTCCCATGCCCCCCCCCCCCGCTTTGCTCTATCTAGAATTTGTCTGCTCCTCCCATGCTCCCTTGCCTTCAACCCCATTATGAATCAGCATCTTTATATCAGAGAAAACATTCAGCATTTGGTTTTTGGGGATTGGCTAACCTCACTTAGCATTATATTCTGCAGTTCTATCCATTTACCTGCAAATGCTGTGATTTTATTTTCTATTAATGCTTAGTAGTATTCCATTGTATATATATACCACATTTTCTTTATCCATTCATCTACTGAAGGGCATCTAGGTTTCACAGTTTAGCTATTGTAAATTGTGCTGCTATAAACATTGATATGGCTATGTCCCTATAATATGCTGTTTTTAATATTCAGTGCCATTCTGACTGGAGTGAGATGAAATCTTAAGATAGTTTTGATTTTCTTAATGCATTAGCTAACACTTAATATTCAGAGCTGAAAGAGTGGTGACAATAGCCTTTGTGTCCTGTACCTCTATTCAAATGTGAGCATGACTTCTCATAACTAGTCATTCATGTCCATAATTAAAATTTTTTTTAATGAGGAAAACTGCAATCTACCATCCTACCTCACTCCAGATTTCTACTTTCTAGAAGGAATCACTTTCTATTTAGCTTTTTTCCCTTGTATTTACCTCTTTTTCCAAGGAACTTGCTTATGCTGTTATTTCATGTTTTGTTTTTTCTTTTATTCCCATGTTGTTATAGCCACTAATTGTGAGAGAGAGAGAATGGCTTTATAAAAACAGATTGCTCCCCAAGCCTGTAGGAGCTCTTTTCCAGCCTTTGTGTGGATGAGAAAAAGGCAGCCTTCCTCTAGCAGGTGCGATAGTCGGCTGTGGGCTTTGGCTGTGGTGCGGTTCTCTGGGCGCCCTTAGCAGGACATCTGCTGCTCAGCTAACAGCAGCCACACTCCCCACCTCTCCCTGGCAGAGTTCAGTTATAAGGTGTCCTTCAATTTTTTAATGTTTACAATCTTATGACTACAGTAATATCATTCATTAATTAGGCCAGTGTTATGTGACTGCGTTTTCTTTTTGTACACTCTGTTTTCCCTGGTGTCAGTCATTTTTCTTGCTCATTTGTTTGGTTCTTTGTATTGTCTCTTCAGTTTCCTGTAGGTGTATAGATCTCTGTTCGGAATTTTCACACACATTAGTTATCTCTTGGGTTCATTTCTTTTTTTCTTCCCAGAGTACTCTTACTCTGCTCCAGTCCTGCTTGGTTGTTAAATGCAGCTGCTGCACACAGTGGCCCTGGAATCTCAGGTCACCATTCTCTCAGGACTTACTTTCTTTCTCCTGCATTGTCTATTTGCTCTGTCTTGGTTTTCTCTCTTATATTAGTAGAATATAAATAGATTCCTGGGAAAGATCTATGTAGTATGAACTTTATATATTTTTAAATTGCTTTTTATTTTGACTTTTCACATTGTACTGATTATTTTATCATTTTTTAGTGATTTGTTAAAACACCTCAATTTTTGTGATCCTTAGTATCCATTCTTTTTTAGTATGCAGAATATTATGTACATTGTTTGCAAAAACTACAAGAAAAAAATTGAAGGATTTTTTTGTTGTTGTTTATTGGTAAATTGTGTATTGCTTTTCAATTTTTTTCAGTAACTATATTCAGTACTGACTTGACACAAAAATAAATAAATATTTTATCTTGATTTTATTCCTTTAAATAACAGCTTTATTTTGAAATAACTATGTAACATAAAATTCTTTATATTGAAGTACATAATTAAGTGGTTTGGGAGGATAGTTGGTCTCTTTTGTTTGTTTTGGTACTGGGAATTGAACCCAGGGGTACTCTACCATTGAGCTGTATCCTCAGCCCTTCTTATTTTTTTTTTTTTTTTTTTGCTTTGAGACAGAATCTTTCTAAGTTGCCCATGCTGACCTCAAACTTGTGATCCACCTACCTCAGCCTCCTGGGAGTAGCAGGGATTACCTGGCTCAATTAGGTGGTTTTTGTTTGTTTTTTTAACTTCATTCTTATTTATCTATGTGTGGTGATGAGGATGGGATCCAGGGCCTTGCACATGCAAGGCGAGCGCTCTACTGCTGAGCCATAACTCCAGCCTCTGAATTAGGTGTTTTTAATATATTAAAAGTTGTATAACTTTTAATTATATAATTAATATATTAAGAGTTTTATAACTCTCACCACTTTCTAATTCCAGAACATTTTCATTACTTCCAAAAAAATATCCCAAACCTATTAGCAGTCATGCTCCATTCCTTCCTATTCCTCCCCATATACCCAATCCTGGCAATCATTAATCCGCTTGTATTATTTACCTATTCTGGATATTTCATATAAAATAAATCATACAATATGTAACATTTGGTGTCTTGCTCATTTTACTTGTGTTTTCAAGGATCATCCTCTTGTAGCATATATTAGTACTTCATTCATTTTTATGACTAATTACTGTTCTTCATATGAATATATCACTTTATATATTCACCAGTATTGTGCTTTTAGTAGTGTGGCATTTTGACAATGTTAATTCCGCCTATCCAAGAACATGAGATATATCTTTCCATCTTTTAAGGTCTTCAGTTTCTTTAGTGATCTGTAGCTTTCGTTGTAGAGGTCTTTCACCTCTTTTGTTAGAATGATTCCCAAGTATTTTTTTTTTAATGAGGCTATTGTGAATAAGATTGTTTATTCCTAATTTCCCTTTCAGTTGATTCATCTCTGGTGTATAGGAACGCAACTGATTTATGGGTGTTAATTTTGTATCATGTTGTTTGCTGAATTTGTTTAGGAGTTGTCAAAGTTTTCTGGTGGAGTTTTTTGGGTCTTCTAAATATAGGATCTTCTTGTCGGCAAGTAAGGATAGTTTGAGCTCTTGTTTTCGTACTCATATCCCTTTTATTTCATTCTTTTACCTAATTGCTCTGACTAGAGATTTGAAGACTGTTGAATAGAAGTGGTGAAAGAGAACATCCTTGTCTTGTTTCTGTTTTAGAGGGAATGCTTTCCGTTTTCTCTATTTAGAATGATGTTGGCCTTGAGTTTGTCATATATAGTTCTTGCAGTGTTGAGGTATGATCCTTTCATTCCTTTTTTTTTCCTAGTGTTTTAATCATGAATAGATGCTGTGTTTTCTTAAATACTTTTTCTGCATCTATTGAGATAATTATGTGACTCTTGTCTTTTGAGTCTGTTGATGTGATGAATTTTATTTATTGATTTCTGTATGTTGAACCAACCTTGCATCCAAGGGATGAACCCCACCTGATCATGGTGCATTATTGTTTTAGTATATTTTTGTATGTGAGTTGCAGCTTTTTATTAAGAATTTTTATTTCTGCATTTATCAGGAATATTGGTCTGAAGTTTTCTTTCCATGATGTGTCTTTGTCTGATTTTGGTATCGAGGGTGATACATCTTCATAGAATGAGTTTGGAAGGATTCCCTCTTTTTCAATTTCATGGAGTAATTTGTAGGATTGGTGTTAGTTCTTCTTTTAAAGGTCTGGTAGAACTTGGCTGAGAATCTGTTTGGTCCTGGTCCTTTCTTTGTTGGTGGGCTTTTGATGGTGTCTTCAGTTTCATTACTTGAAATTGATCTGTTTATATGTTCTATGTCCTCCTGATTTAATTTGGGTAGGACATAAATCTCTAGGAGTTTATTGATGACTTCAAGATTTTCTATTTTATTGGAATGTAAATTTTCGAAGTAGTGTTGAATTGTTTGTATTTCAGTAGTGTCTGTCGTGATATTTCTTTTTCATCGCGA